CATACCGTTTTGCATGATGCAGCAATGGCCTCCAGGCAAGGATATGTTTCCATGGTTCCATGGTTCCTGCCTCCCGCCCCTCATGGTTCCTGACTCTGGCCTGTCATGATTCCTGACTCTCGCCTTCCTGGTTCTTGAGTCCTCAGCCCTGACTCCCCTTCATGATGAATGACTTTGACAGCGCCCCAGATGCTTGTACCTAGTGGCACTACAGTTGCCAGCCGCTATATGGCTGATAACCTACCAGGTTTGCGCTGCAAGGTTGGAATAATGACACAATGCGCAGTGATCCGCGAGGCCATGAGTGCTACCTTTACAGCCAGGTGGCTAGAGCAATTCGCATTGGAGTTGCAGACCAGTGCAAAAGAATTGACATATACGTTATAAAGCAATAGCGGGAAAGGTGGAAAGTTTGCGGAGAGCAGCTGCTGCGAAGACATGCCCCACGCTCTTTCTCTCTGTTGCTGTCTGTCTGGCCCCTTGTGCCTCCGCATCCTCGATGTCCTCGTCACAAAAGTCTTCGTCATACGCCTCCTCGCTGTCCTGGACGACCCCTCAAGAGCTTGTCAAGATAGTAGAAAGTAATAGCAAGGTAACATGTCCACTCAAGGCGGTTGACTCAGTCCTCTGAAAGCATCGGGGATACGATGCTCACGCCGCATTTGATTCTATGCTCCTGCCTGTACCTATTGCAGTGCAAAGGGTGTACGTACTTGTGCTGCGGTATCTGCTGTGAGCTGTCCATCAGTTTCTAATGAAAAATCAGAGCGCGCCAGAAAAACATGCCTACAAATTCGATTCACATAACAGGTCTATGAAACCCCAACCCTTGAAATGGAAGAACCTTACAGCAGCAGGGCAAATACAGTAAGCATACCCGCCCTGCCACTATTGGAGCTTGATAACCGTGGGCTAGAAACAACAAACCTGAAATGCTGCACCACTGCAAATATCTGAGCATAGCGACATACATCCAAAGGCGGCGTGTCCAAAATGCCGAACTCACATCATGCATTTTGCTTTGCTTTTTCTAAGCTGCGCCTCCCTCGGAGGCGTGCAAACGCCTAAGCCTCATAAACTTTACATGCAAACGCATGTATATCCCGCCTGAATAGCCCAAAAAAAACAAGTAGTACAGGAGGGCGCTCTGGAGCCTAAACTTTTGCATCCTTACCGGGCTTCTTTGCCAAGAATGTCTGGATCTTCTGCCTTTTGCCAAGGGGTCCGTTTCGGGTACTGGAACACGCCAGGGTTGCCTGGGCAAACATCCTGATACTCCTGCTGCGGGTTTCTGGATGCTAGCGCTATATCACTGGGTTTTGTCAGCCTAAACCTGCGAAAACGCATGATGCTCTGCGTGATGCCTATCTCCAGCGCGTCGGGCTTGTGACTCCTCACATACCTCCTGTTCCCTGTTCGGGCGACATCCTTGCTGCTGTCCTCCTGCCCGATATTATGCTTACCTGCATGCCTGAATAGCCTGTATCGGATTCGAGCTTCTATCCTTATCTACCAGCCCCCCAAATGGAGAAAACCGTTGGATCCTGCTCTGAGGTGAGACGTAAACTCCAAGCAAATGGCAGGACGGGCGCGCTCTGTGTCAGGCAGACCGCAATTATTGAATGACACACATGCTCAACAATCCTGAGTCATTTTTGTTTCTGCGCGCGCAGGTGTCTTTTGCTGCCTCTCCTCTGCACAAAGGAGCAGCTTGAAGCAGACTGCAGAAGGGTGGAGGAAGGAGTGGGGCTTGTATCAGCTTGTAGTATACAAGCGATTTACATGGAAGCTTGAAACACGACTGGGGCTGACATGTTGTCATGGTCTTAGGCCCAATGTCGCTCACCGCGTGGTCATGAGGCGCCTGAGTGTAGGTGGCTGCCAAGCTCAGCAGGTCCAGAAATTAAAAAAGACACCCTCAGGCCCTGCACTTTACGCCCATCAGCCAGCTCTTGTTCGTGTCCCAGTCCACGCTGAGCCTTGTGCGTGCTGTTTTGAGCAGGCTGCTTTTGGAATGAATTGCGAGTTGCAGGTTCGAATCATCACTTCATCACTGCTGGGGCTGTGGGCTCTTGCTGCACCTTGCTTGCCGTGGCGTAATCCTGAGCCTCCATGGCCTTCGCCAATTGGAGCACCTGAAGGTGAAGTTGTTGTTTCTGCTTCTGGAAGGAGGAATACAGCGCAGGACAAATGCCCAAGAGATTCTTCTCTGCCGACCCTCGGGCCGTGCCCAGAAGGTGCACGGGTTTCCCAAGTGTATTTAAGAAGCTGCGGACCTTTGATATGGCAATGACTACTGACGAATATCCAGGAACAAGCTGCAGGCCTTTGGAGACCCGATTCGGATGTTTGCAAAGCGTGGAAGCAACACTTCCTGGAAGGCTTCTTTCAGGAAGGCGCCTGATAGGCTCTGGGGAGAGCCCTGGTAGCCTGGAGGTGCGGGAACCTGAAAGACGCCGATTCACCTCGATCTTACAACTCAAGCAGCAGAAATCAAGGCTACATGCTACAAGAGCTTGGGGTCTAAGAGTCGAAATGGTTTCAGGTTCGGGGTTTAAGACTTGACAAGGTTCCTGTGGACGATTCGCATCTGGTTCAGGGCCTGCGGTCAAGGTTGCGCATCCTCTTCCTGATGTTATCCAATGCTGCCATTGAAGGCGCAGCGGATGCATCCCTGTCCGCCGGTGAGGAGTGGCAGGTCCTAAGCCTTAACTGCCTTGAAGTCAAAAGCCTAACGTACGTGGGCCATTGCCTCTTCGCCGTAGGCCGGGCACCAGTGCTGCAAACCCTCACAATGAAACATCCGTTTCTCCAATGGCCCCCCTCGGGGCCTCCAAAACAGGATCTTGACAAAAACATGCCGAGCGCTTTTGGCGGCCTTGGCCCGCCCTCTCCAAAAGCATCATGAACTCCTCTAATGTCTGCAGACTGCTCACCCAATGATGCTAGTTTGCACATTGCCACCACGGTAAGGCATCTGGGCAGGGTAGGGCCTCTCCCGCACCCTTCCTGTCCACACTTACCTGCGCTGCCCATCCCTGGGGTGAAGCCCCTGAAGCAATACAACGTCACCTTGAGGTGCAGCAACAGAAACCAAAGGGCGAGATTTTGAGCCAGGAGCCTTGATCCTCAAGAGTCTTCTTACACTGGGCCCTCATGAGTTTCCAGCCTTCTGGGACGTGGCAGTCTTGAGCTGGCCGGTCCTGAAGCAAATCTACGCCAAAGATGGAACATGTGAATGACTTCCCGAAAGCTGAAATAGGCCAAGACCAGGCAGCTTCCAAAATGGACTCTTCTGGCTGCACAGTGCTGCACCCAATGCTGCGATTAGGTGCCCGGCTGGAGCTTGCTGTACAGCTCCTCCAGCTTCTTTAAAACATCCTCTCTCTTCTTTGGGTTGCTATCCTGTCAGTCAGTGCCGGCCCCTGGAACTGGCAGGCCGCATGAAAGAATTGAAGAATTGCTGCATGAAATCCTGGGAAGTGTCCAGGAGAAGGTTGAAGACGTTCTTGACCTGAATGCAAACAATAATAAGCAATACAAATACAAGGACAGGCATGTGGCTAGCCGGCTAGCTCAGCTGAGCTGGTTGCGTGCGCCAGGTCATGTGGGGCCATGGGCTCGCCTATAACACTTGAGGTCGTGCTCATCTCCTTAGAGGTTTGACCACGTTTTTTTGTTTTTGGATTTCATTTGCAGTCGTGACAGGATCTCCAAGTCTTGCTACAAAGCAAGACAAATGCTCTGGGTGGCACCTTATGTGACCCACATGACCCACCAACCTTGTTTTGACTTGTCAAGATAAGTCAAGATCTGCTGCTGAGACAGGCGTCCTGAATTGCAATGTTGTCAGCTGCCACGGACTGGTTTGTGGATAGCTTCTGCCTCGAATTCATTTTGCCAGTGACGAGATTGGCACTGAACTGATCTGAAGCATATCCTCTCAAGGCGCTAGCATCGACTTTGTCGGCAGTGGCCAAGCAACCGGAAGACCTTCGGTGACCGGCATTGCAGAGGCCGTAGGTGCCTGGCCCCAAGAAGGTCAAGCCAATACGCAGGGGTGAATAAGAGCAGCATGCAAGCAAATTCCGCTTTTGCTTCTGCATGCGTGGGTACTTTGCCTGAAGTTTGGGATTGCACACCGACCTACAACGCACAAGATCAAGCAAGCAACAACTTGTAAGTACCTCTCGCGGGTAAACAATATTTTTCGAACATCCATGTGCTGAGGTGACGCTTCAGTACCTGTAGCTGTTGGCAATGTATATGCACACATCTCACTGTACGAGCTTGGCGACATCTGTATAAGCGCAAAAAGCAGTAGAATACCAGTAGTGAGGTCGTACACCGACAGGATGCCTAACGCAAACAGTGAACATGCAGCAGAACATAGTAGAACAAGGTAGAATACGTTGTACACCATATTTACGCGTATGGCTGAACTATGGCTGAGTTTTCGCAGGCAGCAGGAGAGCGGCCTCCATGCTGCCTGTTGCTGAGCGAACGAGTGTGCGCTGTGTGACACATTCTCTTTGAAGCCAACAGGTCGCCCAAATCATTCAACGTCTAGACTAGATGTGCACACACGCCAGGCATGAGCAAAACAAGGACGAGCAGGCCGTGGACTTCCCTGGTGGAGCTGGTGGAGCAGGTGCTGGTGACCTGCAAATGCAAATAGTAAAGCCCTTGTTCTTCTAGAAAGTGAGAAGGCGCAGCATGTCAGCTGAGCTTCCAGCTTTGCGGGCCCAGCCCAACCACCCATGCTGCCCACGCCGCCCACGCCGCCCGCACCACCCATGCCTGCATTCATCCCTCCCACACCTCCTACCATGCCCACAGAGCCACCTCCTGGCACAGGCCCATTCCCAGGTCCAGGAACACCGCCAATGCCAATGCCACCGACACTCCCCACGCCTGGACCAATGCCAGGACCGCCATGCACAGATCCAGCACCCAAACCGTGGCCGATGCCACCCGCCATTGAAGCGTCAGGGCCCTCAGAACAAAACATTCAAGCATGGATCTTTCGACGAAAGTATTCTGATGTTTCTGACTGGCTTGGAGTCGCGCCGGATACTTCCCTGGCAGAGGACCTGGGCCTGGGCCCATGGACCCAGGATGCGCTGACCTGCTCATGGATCAGCGTCTTCATCGAAGCACAAGCTGATCTTCAACTCTGAAGGCTCACATTGGCTTGGGCTGCATTGGCCAGGTGCCGCCGCCCCCCGGCATTGGCATTGAGGCGCCCATGGCCGCCTCAGGGCAGGTCGTAAATCACAATGCATACAATCCTTCGCCGTCTGTCCGGTGAACGAGTGCAACATTACCGCAACTCCACTCCAAAATTTGTGCATGGGTCGCCGGCTGCATGATTTCCCGAAACAATGCAAAACAAACTGCAACCCCGCCATGTCCTCAACCTAGACTTTTCTACGGCTACCCGACAAAGTACAATGAGACCATGCTGTGCATCCCACCGGTGCCTTTCCTGGCAAAGGTGCCTCAGACAGCACGGCTGACATCTTCTTAAATGTCGCGTCTTAAGATCGCTTCAGAGTAAAGGTGTGCTGAATAAGGTCCAAACGGGTGCAGCAGTTTTTGCACCTGCACTGGCACGGCGAGCCAGTTCGATATCTTCCATGGTTGTGGTGCTGGCCTCCTAAGCAGGGGCATGGGGCCGTTCCCATTTTAGGGTGCGCCGCATGTACCGCGGGGCCAGCGCCTGTTGTCGTTCAGAGTTTTGATCCTTCTCAGCAGCTTCAGATGCTTCAGCTTATGAGCCGTTCAAGCTTAGCACGCGGCTGGTGGCCCGCACGTCTGTCGTCTGGACATGGCTTTCATGCTCACGATCCGAAACTTGAAAATCTGTGAATGCAGCCTGGCCTGGAAAGGAAATCGTGGAGCAGCCCTCAGCCTGACTGAACAGCTAAGGACCCCTCAACTGCCTTCACACTCTTGTGCTGGGTTCACAGACATCTGGCCCATCTGAGCTGGGGCAGAGTTGAAGATCCGGTCCCGCAGCGTAGCTGAGGAATTGTCATCTGGAGCATGGACTTTCAAAGAGCTCAGTGATCACTGATCTTTCGTCTTATTGAGCGCAGCGAAGTCTACAAGCTGCCTGGCAGCAGGCAAAGGTAGCGCATGGCCGCTGTAAGTCGCCCGGAATTCGCCAAGATCTCCGCATACCTCCCAGGCCGTGGAGATCACAGGACAACAAGATGCAACAAGGCTGCAACAAAGGAAGGCCACGACCACCATCACAAACATGTACGCGCACTTCGTCAGCTTTTGCGAGAAAAGCGCATCCGGCTGGCAAACGGGAGCTCTGTACTCATGTTGACTTACATGTACGCGATCCACAGGCTGCAGCATCTGCAGCTGAAAAGTACGAGAAAGTTTCCTCAACCGCACCTGCTGGAACTTTGTTACATCCTGGAGCACAGCCATTTTCTCCACCTCAGCTCACGGCCGAATGCTCAGCTTTCCTTGGCAACCTTGCTTAACCTTACGTCAGGTTCCACATCTGCAAAGCTTGGGCCATGACCAGGTCTTGCAGGGCCAGATTCTGCGAGCCCTGCGAGCCAAAAGCGGTACCAAAAGCAGTCCAGCAAGAGGCGAGATCCAGCGCTTGAAAAGCTTTAAGACATTGGAGAGCTGCAAAAGAAGCTTCCTCAGCAATGACGCCTGAGATGCCACGTGCGTGATGGCCCAAATGCTGACAGTTTTGGGGAAGTTCTTGGCGCAGATGTAGCAGATCTGTCAGAGACACGCAGGCGTTGCAAATCGGGCCGTGTTGCTTCTCTTATCTACCTATGCATCCGGTCAACAGACTTGAACCCGAATGGCCCAACCAAATGCGCTTCTTGACGCATATCTCACGAGATTTCTTGACATCGCTAGGCAAACATCTTCACACATCTAAGCCTCTGTTGGCTGCAGTCAATCACATCAATTCATGACTCCTACTCTTTCCAGCTTTAGGTTTGTTCCTAACTTGCCCAATGCGGACCCCTCCCGACCAGCGCCGAGCGGATGTCAAACTTCTCCTTTTCGAGGCGCTCGGCCAACTGCTCACATAGCACCTCCAAACACAGCAGTGGGACTTCCGCATCTCTCAATATGCTTTCGAATAATAACACCCCGCCCCAAGGTGTGCCAGAATATGGACCCATGTATTATGCCTGGTGTCTTCATTCTATTTTTGACCTTCAGCCGGACATGGAAATCACCGAATCTTTTAGCAAGGGCGTGCAGCTCTCTAATGCCATCGTACCCAATGAAGCTATGTCTGTGCATCTGCACTGGCCATGGATGCGTACATGCATAACTTTTAAGTAAGAGTGGCTGCCAGCGTTTGACCGTTTGCAGTTTTGACGCCATTTATGTGAGAGCAAAATGTTCGAGGGATCAAAATACAGGATGCCACACATGCATCCAAATGTTGTTGCTGCTCACAACCTCTGTTTCTCCATGCTTATTTAAGCTACCGGATTGTAGGCGCAAGAGTAGGGATGAAAAGAAAAGAGAACGGATCGCAGTAGCCATGCATACGACCAAGTGGTCTACTGATGTGTGAGTGCGTGTGTGTCCGACCCCTTCGAGCTTCTGTCATGCCTTGATCACACGATCAACTTTAAGTGAGCAAAAGCTCTTTGAGGTTCAAGATGTTCAAGCACGCAGCACCTGACAGGCTACATGGCACTTGTCATACTTCGTTTTTTAAACGCATGGATTGCGGTTGGAGCCAGCATACATGACTCGATGTACTTTCCTGGTTAAGGTCTCTCAAAGTCTTCATGGGAGTCAACAAGCATTAGGTACAAATTGACGTCAAGTGGGAACAGAATGGTGGTCATGCCTTCTTTGCTCTCTCAGAGCTTATCTTCTTGAAGCATGCATGTTTCATATCTGCTCGGAAGAGATTGAACATGCAACAGAGTCGAACTTTAGCTCTAACCCAATCTCGTTCACGTCAGCAAGAGGATGCTGAAGAGCTGAAGCTTGCTACTTGAACCTTGTCCTCCAGTTTTCAATAGTCGAGTGCGGGCGGACACTGTAGAAAATCACCAATCACGTTGCTCTTTGTTGTGGTCATCTATCTTTCTCAAGTCTCCGGATGATTTGCATCATGCACGAGGATCATTCCGGAAATCGCACCCACAAAAATGATGAAGTTTGCTTGTGATATCACGAGGAGATGTCCCATTGGCATGACTCTTGTATGCTGTGCATCGCTTTCCGAATTTTTCGCTAGTGCGAAATACTTTCTTCAAAAAGGGATGTGGCATCGCACCTTAATTAAGGAGAAGCCCTGAAGAGCTTGCCGTTGAGTGTCGAGAAGCTGCAATGCAATCATGACGTGTGTTCACGATTTGCTGTACGTGTTTGGGTGTGATGATTTGAAACTCATGCGGACATTTGTCATCTCATTGGAAAGCAAGAAGAAAACACATTGTAGCTCGTACTCGTTGGCGTGTGTCCGGATGGAGAATCAGAAAGGTGATGGTGAGAAATCTGCGGTAATTAGGCCTTCATCCCACCAATGGATAGTCTTAAGTATGAGTTCAGCTTGGCAATCCCTCACGCACCTACTTTGTGGCAAGTTACTCTCAGGTGTATTGACTTCACACCTAACTTGGCCGAAGCTTCTGACTTCACTTGCTTTTAAGCGATGGTGGGAATTATTGCAACGCTTCTATAGTTCCCCTTCCCCAGTGATTTGCATGCTTGAACTTTCAGGTTGCGAAAGATGACTACTGCCTTGATTCTCATGATCTCGTCTGATTTCCAATGATTCGATTTGAGCGTCAGAATGCGTCAGAACCACGGATTTGTCCATGTCCCTTGTCTCATCCATGGCTGTGCGCGGATCATCGCGGATCAAATGAATTTGCCTCAGGTTCAACGGGCTCGAAGCTCTGAGCCCAAATCCTCGAAGTTGGATGCCGACTGCTATTCAACACCGGTCCGCACATGTCTAGATGCTCGAAACGCGGAAGCGCTGGAAGCTGGTCAATGGCCATGGCGATGTCTTAGCACTATGAGCGCCGTGGAGTTAGCCAAGCATATACTATATGAGCGTTCGCCGAAACTCCTTGTATACTTCGATGCCATGGACAATTTGGGGGGGTCCTATCGCTTTTGGGGGTTTTGGTGTAGGATACACGGAAAGGTATCGCTTTTG